GGTTCTCTCTCCCTCTCTCTCTCTCTGCCCCTCTCTTCTGCTGGCACTCTCTCTCTCAAAATAAATAAATATTTAAAAAATAATATCAGAAGTAATTTAATATTTTGTGACATCATAACTTTTTCAGAGTGGGAGAGTCATTTTTCAATGACTCTTGAATAACTCTCCAAACTTGTTCTTTGCCATTTAGATGCTTTGTAAAACCTGTCAAGTACTGGCATATAAAAGCACAACCAATGCTTAGTACAGCATAATTTAGCACATCTTTTACCCAGGAAGCTGACAATATTGTGGAAGAGTATCTCCAACTGTAAGGGATTATTTAAGGGCTTGTAGGGAAATCCTTTCCAAATTTTGGAACGCTGTGATGCAATGCACATCACTACTACCAAAACTAAAAGTAGTGATGTCTCTTCCTCTGCATTTCTGAATCAATGGTTATAATAAGGAAATATGCCTCTCCATTAGTATGCCTTTTACATGGCCCTCTGGCACAAATCACAAGATGACCTCAAATGATTTGAAACTTAAGTAGAAAGTCTTTGGAAAGAAAATGTTATATTGTCTCAGCAAGAGTCCAAATTCCTTTCTGACTTACTGGCAATAGTCTAGAAAAGACTGTCTAGTTAATTATGATAAATTCACCTCATTTCCTTCTCTATGTGAGACAAAATTCAAACCACTGATTGGTGAGCTGTCTCAGAAAATAGAGATAGAAAATTAACCTTTCATTTATTATGGCAGTAATAATATGTATCACATAGGGTGAGGTGAGGCTTAAATAGATAAAGCAGCTATACTTTGCACAATGCTGGGCACGTAGTTCATCAATGGTTATAGTGATTCTTCTCATCGTCATTATCATAATCAACATCATTGTCATTGTCATCCCTAATTGAGCATCTGCCATGTACCAGGCCCATATTAAAATATTAAAGGCAGAACCAGATTCATTTGTGGAGTTTTATAATCCCTGGGGAGATACTTAGCCATTAAAAATTCATGATACAATTATTCTTAAAGAACAAAGTTTTAAGTTCACCATATTACAGGTTGTTGAGAAAGAATTTATTAATCCAATTTCTAGGAAACAGGCTATGAAGCAATCTTATTAAGAATATTCCAACCGAATATGAATACACATAGGGAAATATTAAAAATGATGTTCAAAAAAGCCAACACAAATGTGGATCAAGAAATAGAGACACCTCTTGAAACAGAAAAGGCCCTCTTCTGAATTGTTAACTAAGTCTGGGAGCAGTTGCACTCCAGAGTTTGCACCTGCTTGACTCCACCAGCAGATGTTGCTGTGAAGTCAAATAAGGCCTGCACAGAGAGGACCATCCCTGGGCTGGCCTCTGAGAATGACTTCTCCGCAATATAAGGGAATCTTTATGTTAGCTTATTCATATGTATTTTCACGTGTTTGCTTCTTTTTGATTTAATCCACTGGTAACAACATGGAAAAACTTAAAGACAACTTTTATTTCAAATATTAGTTTAGAAAGTACTTTTAGATACATTATCAGTTTTTCTCTTATTTTCATAATAACCCTGCAGCAAGGTAGGCAAGTCTTTTATCTCTAATGTCTTGGCTACTGTGAAACTCATCAAGATTACTTGGCAGGTCTGACTTCTTCTAGTTGTTAGATGATAGTGTTCTAAGATTAGAATGCTGGATTTCTGAGCCCAAGACCAGCATGCTTTCTTTCACAGTCCAAATTTATGAAACTGAATGCAAGTGTCAGTAATCTATTTTCTAGTTCACTGAAATCCATGAATATAGATGTAAACATATATCATTACTTTGACCAAGATTTTTAACTTTATGAGTGCTATTTATTAAGGGGCTAAAAGACAGTTCTGGAAACATTTGACCTCAGTAAGCTTCTCAACGAAAAGCTAACATAACATTTAATTAAAAAAACTAAACATCAGTTAAAATTTCTTCTTTGTTTGCAAATGTAATTGTTAAAGTGAAGTTAATTAACTAATGGCAAGTACCAAACTCTAAAATGTATACTTAGTAGTAAAATGTTCTGAATATATTTTAAAGGAATTAACATTTCACAAAAAGCCAATTTATATTGTAATAGACAAGGAAAATATATCAACTGTTTTGTTCACATATTCATATGCAAAAATATTGCTCTAGTGACATACATACATATGTACTAGAGTGACAAAGTGACAAACTGTCACAATTTGTCTAGAACTGAAGGGTTTTCTGAGACACAGGGCTGACTCTCAGTGCTAAAGGGGGGACAATTCTAGGCAAACCAGGGCAATTGGTCACTCTAGTACACGTACACACGATATTTTATATTTTATATATATAACGTATTATATTTTTTCCTCCTAAACACTTGAGTCATCTTGCACATTTTACAACACCATGATACAGTGATGCCCTTAATAACCATTCTGGCGAATGAAACTCTTTGCCAATGTGCAAACTACACCAGCATACTGATATTTCTTTTTAGAAATTTTATGTCAGTTTTACACATTTTTTACTTCTTCCTTTTGATGACACTATGTATTCTGAAACTCATTAAATACTATTAGAAAAAAAAAAACAGTCAAATAGCCAACTTCCTGAGAATTTATAAAATGTATTTTCTAAGTATAGTCTATGAGTGTTTTGAGGGAATAAAGTGTGTGTGGTCTTTTCAATTAAAACAAAAATTGTTCTACTGGATCAGATTAGGTTGGTCAAACAATAGTGGATTTAAAATGCCAGAAGTGTAGTTTTCTCTCCTACAAAAGAAGTGCAGGGATAGGCAGCCCAGGACTGACAAGGCAGCTTCACAACATGTGAGACCCAAATTGCTCCGAATTTCACAGTCTAAGATGGTTGCTGAAACTCCTGCCATCATTCCCATATTCCAATTGGGAGGAAGAGGAAGGGAAAGAGATTCACATTCAATATTTCAACATCAGCCAGAACTTAGTCACCTGGCCACACCTAGCTGCAATTGATGCTGGAAAATACAGTCTTACTATGAGTGGGCATACTCACTATTTAAACCAGAATGTTGTTACTTTAGAACAGAGGGAAAAAATAAGTATTAGGGAACAATCAGAAATCCCTTGAACCGCTTATCTGGATTTACTGCCGTAGCAGATGAGATTTCTACTTTTGTAACCCAAGAATTCCTTGTTTTTCTTCTGTTTGCTTCTTCTTTACCCTCAACGTGTGATCCCCATAAAAAAATTAAAAATGCCCTTATGCTTAACTCTGTCAGAATACGAGTTTGCATGTATTTGGGGCAGATCTAATTCTTGCATCTGGGATGTGGAAATTGAAGGCATGCCTAATTCTCTGCTTGTGGTTGGATCTAGTGTTTTTTTTCTTCCAGTTAAGTTTTCAAGTCATATAGATAATGGCTAAACAAGGACTTAATGTATGGCCAGTGTGCCTACAACCTTGAATCATGTAACCTCCAAGGTTCTGAGACTGGCCTTTGACCTCAACTGTGAACACCCTTTCTGGAGATCCATCAGCCTGATTTTGTGGGTCTCACAAGTGGAATGAAACTATATTGATACCACAAACATCCTCAAGCATACCTAGATTCATGGCATTTTATTGATAAAGGCAATGAGAGACCAATTCCCTTCTTTTACTGAGAAAACCCAGAAGAGTTAAGTGACTTGTCTAAGGACACTCAACTAGTTGGTTATAAAATGTGGTTTGATAACTACTCCTGGCCCTATTCTCCAAACCTCCCAAACCGTGAAGACCTGTGGTTGCTCAGGCCCTGTCTTTAGGTGGACATATCATCACTGTGGCTCTACCACATTTGCTACTGACACTCAGAAACAGCTTTGCCGTAGTCTTCTATTAGCCCTGCATAACCTCGACAGGAGGAGAACATCAGTGTGGGAGAGAGTTACCTCACCTTCTGCAGGGTGAAGAAGTTTGATTGTCCTCTCCTTCATGCATGAGTATGAGAATGGGGTACGCTTTCAGGGTAGGAGTCGTTTCCTTTCCAGATTCTTAGATCTCCCCAGTAACAGTCCTCATCACATACATTTGGGGAACTATGCTAATTTATGTTTGTTGCTGTGTTACACAGGACAGAAAGTTGTATATGGTCATAGATTTGCCAAATTGGAAGGGACTTAGAGATCATTTTTCCTCAATTCCTTGATTTCTCAGTGGAGAAAACTAAAACTCAGAGAGATGAATTGACTTAGCCAAGATCAGATGTTTTGCTTATGATTTATAGGAAGCCAAAGCTTAAAGCAACTCTACAGTTTATTTCTAACAATATTAGCTATTACCATTCACACAATAGATTAGTATCTGAAAACTGTTTCCTACTTCGAGTTTGGATTTGCTCCAAAACATCTTTTAAATTTATAGTTAGATGATACGGGATAGTTTTATAAAATATTTTATTTACAGTACAGCTTTACAAAAATAGTCTTAATAAAATTAATACAAAACCATTTTACAATATAACTTATATAACTATCTTCTCAAAAAAGTGACATTCGGTTATAACACATAAACTACATTTGCATTTGTTAAGTCACATTGTAGTATAAATATGTTTTATCATCATTTTTTAATAAGGTACATACCAATAACAATGAACAATGGACAGCAATATGTTATTTTATTTTTCTTCCAATGTAAAAGTCCTCTCTGGCCAAAACAAAATTAACCAAAGGAAAGTAAAACAATTGTCCTTCTGTTCAACAATACAGTCCGTTTTAATTATTTGAGAGTTTATCTGACAAAGACATGGCATTAATCTGAAAGCACCTGGCATAAAGTCTAGTAACAATATTCCCAAAAGCATTCTCCAATGTCTTGTCTTCAACTGTTTATTCAGTATTTTGCCAAGATGAATAAAAATTGATCTCAACTCTCCCCTTCATTAATCTCAAGTGTGCTTAATATGCACTGAGGTTTTTAGACCTTCCCAACTGGCATATGTTGAAAACGTGAGTTTCTTTCTTTGGCTTCAAGTAGAGTTTCACAACACTTATGAAACATACTGAGCTCCTCCATGTGGCTGAATTTCTGTGACTCCCCACCCAACAACATTTCCCCGGATGTGACAAGAATCGGCTCCTGCGGTTTCTCTTATCTCTTCATTGCTGAGAACGCGATCCCAGATATTAAAGCCTGTGAGTCTTCCAGAAAAGGCTAGTGTTTCATCAAAGCCACCACCTACACAGCAGCCGTTCTTTTCTTGGCCAATCTGCAGGATCCCTCCCTCAGGAACAATATGACCTATGGCCATCTCGACAGTGGTAGCCACCAGTTCACCGTTTACCCACAAGGACATGCGCCCCTTCTCTGAATTCCAGGTGCTGCACAGATGGGTCCACTTTCCCAGGGAAATCACAGTATTAGCAATCAGTTTGTTCTCCTCTCCACCCACCACAAACACTATGGACTGATAGCCAAGGTACAGCTGGATCTCATATGGATTTCTCTTTGTGCCATACGAAAACAGGATGGTTTTGTTTAATACATCTGTGGCTTTGACCCAAATGCAGGCACTAAAAGACTCAAGCTTCATTGGTGTCGCTGGATGCACGCTTCCAAAAATCTTCTTGGAACGCATTGGGAATAAAAGTGCTGTTTCACAACCTAGAATGGCAAGAAAGTAAGAAGGATAGGAGAGAAAATATAAATTCACTCAGAAATGATTCCAGCATTTGGGTCTTTTAGCATAGGCATTTTAATGACTACCACTGAAAATTATGTGCAGTATTACACCATGACTTGAGGAGCTTCAAGAGTGATTTCTTAGTAGAGCAAAGAAAACAGGAATAAGGAAAGTCAATTGTCAGGCTTGCTCAGTGAGGCATCTAAGTGGACAAGATGACATGCAGAGGAGCCAAATTGTCCCAACTCAGAAAATAATGGAAACCATATTTTAATAACTAGTTCCCCTCACAATTAGCTTATTTCCTTTTACTGCTTTTTTTTTAAATAAAAATGTTGAGTCACTATGCTTTAACTTCAAACAATGACACTGTATTTTCAAAAAACCTAGAGCCAAACTTGTTTCCCTCTTCTTGACTTCACCAAGCTTTTAGAATAAAAACAAAAACAAAAAACCTATGAAATTCAATGGACCTGGCTCACCCTATTTACCCATGGTCAACATGTATTTATTTTATGTGTTAATGTTTTATTTATTTATTTTGAGAGAGAGACAGCCAGCAAGTGAGCACCAGCACAGAAGAGGAGCAGAGGAAGAGGGAAAAAATCCCAAGCAGGCTCAGTGCTGTCAGTGTGGAGCCTGACTCAGGGTTCGATCTAATGAACTGTGAGATTGTGACCCGAGCAGAAACCAAGAGTTGGCACTCAGTCAGCTGAGTCACCCAGATGCCCCAAGTCAACATGCATTTTTTAAGTGAAAATCTAGGACAGTCATTGTTGCTGAATACATTTCATATACCTCATGTTCCAGATAGTTGTAAACTTTGCAAAGTTTGTAGAAAGCTACCTTTGAAAGTCAGCAATAGATGATAATGATGACTAACTCTAATTGGGTAATCTCTGTGTACCAAATACTGTTCTAATCCCTCTATATCATTTTAATCTTAATATTCCCATATTAAGGGATAGTCTTAATATTCCCATTCTACAAAGGAGAAAAGTAAGGCATAGAGCACTAAGTAACCTGGTCATCAGAGGCCACGCCCTAACTAGCACACTGCATTGCTTCTTAATGGTAGAAGAACCCTAGATTTGACTAGGGGGGCTGGAACTCAGTTTGTTTTACTATTAGCAAGCATGCAGTTTTTGATGAGCCCCATATCTCTCTAGGCTTTTATAGGTTAAAAGCCTCTTCCAGTCTCTTCCTAATATTCTGCAAGTCTGTAAGCAACAAATATATAGTACTCGGGAAGAACTGTGTAGCCCAAGGATATGCTTAGAAACTCTTATTTTGTCCACAGGCTTATAAATACTGTTTAAGCAACAACAGAAAGCCTTTAAGGAAGAGTGAACTCTTTCAAGGGTCCTACTGGAGAACATATTTCTGCTCAAGAGCACTTGGAAGGAGACTTTGTGACATGGGAGTTGGGAGCTCAGTAAACTCCCACCTCAGTTCATCTCCAGGTCACATGTCTGGTCAGGAAGCTAGAGATGCTGAAGTGAAGATCTTCTAGGTGTCTCTGGGAAACATGCTAAAACCTTTCACGGGTGAACTCTACTTTGTGATAACTTCATAGGTGTATGAGAGACCAGAAAAAAGAATTTTTTTTAATGTAAATGAGCCGAAGTATTCACTTTATGACAAACTGAAGATTTACCACAAAATAGCTTTGATAAACAAACTTCCAGAGCATTTAGAGACTAACTGGTGAATGTGTAGAACTTGCAGGCACCAAAAGCCCATGAAAAGTGTGCTGAACTAAGTTCAATGACTGCAAGTGATTGAGGGCTAGGCTCTGTCCTAAAAAATTAAACAGATGTGGACCTAGAAATAATCAAAGAAATACTGAGATTCAGAAAATTGTATGAAAGTAACAACAACACTAAAGCACATGTTGGCCCTGTTACATTTTGCTATTAACTTTTTCAGTGAGTAATTTGAATTTTTGAAGATTTTTGAAATTCTTAATGAGCCATTCTTTTTTCAAATGAAATCGGTAGATGCATTTTTTTTTCTAGTTGTGTTAATTAAATCAAACAAAGATAATGGAATAAAAGATGCATAACCATTTGAGATCTTCTCTGTAATGTTCCAGTAAAGTACTGTTCAAGAAGGGGCCTATTGCAGTCTAATTAACTGATTTCCTGTTTAAATAAACCCAGGCAGTCAGGATTGCATTCCAAAGCATTCCTTGATTGCCTCTCTGAGACCCAGCTTCCCCTGCAGGGTGCACTGGCCATAGGAATTCATGGAGTGGAACTTGTTGTTCACAGGATTTTTGTGGTTTTTTGGTGGGGACCAGTCACTGAGGCTCTTGCTATCTCTTTAAAATGTCAGAGACTCTCATGAAATGGCTTTTAACTAATAGGTTTTTCTGATTATATTATCAAAGACCGAACAAAATTAAAACCAGGTTCTTAGGAGGCCGACAACAGAATAATTAGGAATCCCTTAGGAACCAAGCTGGCAAGAAACCAAGGGAAGGGAAACCAAACCATGTGGAAAAAGTACTATTGGATATAAGAAATTAACTATTTTAGAATTCAGAAATACACTCCTCTCTGCTCTAACTAGCATACAGAGGTGAGTGAAAATTCGCGTTAATCAGGTACATTAAATGTACAATGATTTTACATGGTTTGCCAAAGACAAGAGATTTCATCCATTAAGACAGCCACCAGATTATAATTTGTCTCTTTGCCACTTACATTGAGGATCTATCGTATATTTGATTTTATGCTTTTTCAGTCTCTGAAACCACACGTAATACATTCAAGAAAATATGCTCAGTACTGCCAAACAGTCCTCAGCTATTTAGTAACGACTGATACTCTGGTATGGTTTCTGTAATTTTAAATGAAACATGCTCTCACACATGCTTATGATTCTTCCTCCTACTTCAACAGATGAGTTGCTTTATTGTAACTGTAAAGAGGAATGGCATTGTTTGTGATTGTTTTCCCTTCATGAGATTCTCAGGAACAGCGTAAATTACATTTTCTTACCCAAGTCGCTGATTTTCTAATATAACCCACAAATGATTTTTGCCTTACTATCTCCAAAAAAGTTTGACTTGTAAAGGAGTGTTACTTGGCTCCAAATAAATCTCATTTCTTTTAGCCATCTTCCCAATGTATTTTTCAGGCCCACATGTGTTTGGAGATTCATGTAGTATCACATGGGACTTCCAACAAGTTGCATCTGGTTCGAACCGCCTGTCTTTCTCTCTCTCTCCCTCTCTCTCCTTTAGCTCTCACCCCTTAAATCACTGGGGAGGAGGGTTACCAATTGGCTCCTACCTCAGACCATTCTACCTTGGATCCCGCCCCCGCAAGTTTATCCCAAGCCTCCTGTCTCACAGGCTTATTCCCCAGGCCCCGGGGGCTGGGGGACCCCTCAGGAATTCCACTAATCTTTCAGGAGATCAGGTTCAGTCTCAAGTCTCTTGCTCAGAACCAGCGGGGAGGAGGGGCCAGCCCAGGGATTGGAACGTGTCCCTAAAAATTAGGCTGGGCCCTGAAATAGCGCGGGGGAACCGGAGCCCTTTCCCCCCTAAAGAGAGACAGGCTAAAATTAGAAGAAGTGGAAATCCCTAACGGAGGGAAGCCGGACGGCTAGAGAGGTCACGGTTATAACCGGCCAATAGAGCTCCTGCACCTCCTGGTCGGATCGGGTGTCAGGGGCCCTTGACGTCTATTTCAAGACTGTGATGGTTACGTGCACAGGTCTCTTCTGGGCTCCCCGCGGCCGGAGAATACTTTTTAAAGTCAGTTTTCGCGCCTTGTATGGCGTATGTGATCCGTGTGAGCGTGCATAGAGAACTAGAGCTGCGTGTGTCCCCACTGAAGCTGGCCCTAGGGGGCTGCCACTGGGCTTCCCGCCACGCGCGTTCCGAGGACAAAGCGGCGGGGGAGGGGAGGGGGCCGCTCCGCTCCGCGTCCTTACCTGCCGGCAGCCAGCGCCCGGCCGCCCAGCCCTGCACCGCGCGGAGGTCGGCTCGCGTCCGCCGCAGCTCCTCGAGCACCGCGCCCAGGGCGCGCCCCGCCTCCTCCGGGCGCGGCGTCTCGGCG